CATGTAAATCGGTTGCTGTGTTCATTTAATAGCTGAATAGATAAGACAGCCAGTAACGCTTACGTGTCTGAGGGCAGCATCACTTGTATTAAAACTCATATCCACATTGATTCTTTGCACTTTAACAATAAAGAATTCCAGTAGTTAGAAACATCACGGGCAAGAGTTCTGACCTGTCTTTCTCAGCTCCTGTAATCACATCCACATCCTTTGCAGGAGCATTCATAATTGAAGAAAGTTTCTGCTCAGCCACTGTTCTCAGAGCTTTCTCCTTCTCTGTCATTGCAATGGCTTTTTCCACATCTTCTTGGGCAGCTTTAAGATTCTGTAATTAAAACACACAATCCCGATGCCTACAAGAACAAAATGCTCAATTTTTCACATATTGAAGTTTCTTCTACCAAACAGATGTTGGTATGTTTAATTTAGCAACTTTTACCAAGTATTTAAAGCACTTTGCAAATGCTTCTGAACTCTTTGTGTCTGCATTTTCAAGATTAATTCATTTTCTGTGGTACATAAAGAAGGAAAGTTTGTTTCAAAGAGATAAAATACCCTAATTGATAGTAGAACTGGAAACAAAAGTCCCCCTATGCTATGACTTTAGATTTAGCTATTATAATTTGGCTTTGTCCCACTGTCCTCCCACTATCATAATAAATAGCTACACTTAAAGAGGTTAAAGAAGGGCTTTTTTATCCCATCAGAGATCAAATTAACATTCACAGGTTCACTGTAGCTAATTGGAATTCTTCCCAACATCATTTATAATATTTTGCAAGAATTGATAAGGTATGAACCAAACATTTTTCTCTTGAACAGCAACGGAAACAGAGATAACACCCAGAGATTCCAGTCAACTTCCTGTAGCAACCCAACTCAAGGAGACAGGCAACACCAGAAGAACCACACTTGTCACACATGACACAAAATTTTTTTCAGATCTTTATTTTTATATTGTAAACTTCCCTGCTGTGCTCACTGAGTTTTGCTTTCTACAAAATAAAAGCCTTCTTGTAGCCTAAAAAGTAATTCCCCTGTCTCCTTCAAGTCTCTCCTAAAAAGCGTTATCTCTTTAGGGGAGGGTGAAGAACCAGTCCTTCACCTCTAGACCTCCCCACTCACCCCCTCTCCTGAAAAGCTCTTCTGACAGCACTCACCTTTCCACCAAAGACTCTGAAGGAAATTAATCTTTGTTAGTTACCTGGATCTCTATAATTATACAGTGCTGCATAAACAAGTGACTAAGACTGCTCTGCAGTGTTTATATTCATGAGCATAATAAAATTCCTGTCAAGAGGCCAACACTATCTTCAGGCTACAGAAAATACTGCATCACCATGAGATTAGAGTATTTGCCCTTCTGCCTGGCAGATCTGGGAAACACCAGTCTGACTGGCTGTTTTGTTACAGAATAAGTAATTTAGGGACTTCTCTACCTCTCCATTAGCACCAAGAATGCTTTGAGAAATCCCAATTCCACTAAACCGAAAAAAGGGTCAGGGAGATTCCCCCCTGCTCCTCCTGAAGGAGCTCACTGCTTTATGAGCACTGCTAAATCATCCTGATCGAAAATACCATCAGGAGGTTGCTACCAGTATCTTCCATGACCAATTCATTCTCCAGGGATGGGAAAGCAAATACTGGAATATACCCACCTGTGCTATTTCTATTTACTCACAGAAAGAGCAGCAGAGGCCTCAAACACAGCTACAAACTCCCACACCTCCAGGTAAGTGTATACAGTCAATGATGCAAAACAATCACCAGCTTATTTATTTCTAGAACCTGACACAAACATTTCCAGCACAGACCATTCAACATCAAATTTGTTCTTTACAGGAAACTGAACTTCTCTTTGCCTCTGAGGAAGTCTGTTATTCACAAACTTTTTTTTTCCCCAATACTGAGGCCCATACAAAGAAGGAGTGCCTAGAGAGGTTTCAGCTGTTCATGAAGCTGAGACCTTATCAGTAGGAAGGTTCAAAATCCAGCCCCTCTTCCTCTAAATAGAGATTGTAGCCTCCTCACACTGGAACTCAGGAATCAAAGGTTTGTGCCAATACCACCAATAGGTACGAATTTACTGAAGAACAATTATCCTCATATTTAACATTTCAAGAACAGCTAAAAACACCTTCCCTTCCATTATTTTTCTTTTTTTTTTTTTCCTGTTTTTGTGCTGGCTATTTTTCCAGGAAAGCTGAAACAATTTTGAAAATACACGTAGATCACAGTATCAAGTCTCAGTACAAAGACAGTATGATTTCTAACTCTTCGTCCAGTTGCAGCCACTCACCTCTTCCAGAAAGTTTATTTTGCTAGTCAGGACCTCTTCCATTTCTTGCATCTTCTTTTGTGCCTCTGCTTTCACATGCTGTATTTCAGCATCACCACCCTGGGCCAAGCTTTCAACTGCCTTACTGAAAGACCGTAACAGAGAGAAATCCCATTGCGTACCAGAGTGGAAAACATTTAACGTGCAAGTGGCGGATAGATTACGCACAAGCAAGTGTCCTCCACTTTATCTGTACCTGCTTGTCACTTGAAGGTTAAATACAAACACCTACACACTATATATAAATTCTGGTGGTATAATCCCAGAGTTCCACATACAAGCCTTGTCACAGAAACAGGGGCTTAGAAAAGAGGTTCCAGAAGGAAAGCAGGAATTTTAAGCATATTCATTTTTATATCACTAAAACCCACGATTCCCTCTAGATTAGTTCTGAACTGCTCTCTCAGCCTTACTGAAAAGTGTTTTGTGTAATGTCTTCTCAATCCAGTGCTGTAAAAAAAAAGTCCACCTCTTTACCTGTTGAGACAACTAAGCTCTTAGCTTAATTTCTACAATAGGAATGATAGGCCATTCCCAACTAAGAAGTCATTTATTGACCTGAAAAGTACAGTAGAATGAAGGATAATAAAGTTGAGCCAGCCAGCACAAATATATTAACATCACTGTGCGTTTAAGAATTCACACATGTAACTTCTGTAATGAATGAAGCAATTTCTAGATAAGTACCCTTAAAATACTACTTCAAGATCCTCATACTACTAAAACATCAGGAAAAAACAAACAGAAGCAAGATCTTGGAAACTCTAAATAACAGACATCAAGAAATACACTGGTACTTACGAGGCTTTGATGAGCAGTTTCTCCCTTTCCTGCAGCTCACGCTTCAGACTTTCTATCTCAACTTTCAGCTCAATGTTCTAGGACAAAAGGATGAAAGTGTCTGGAGAGAATTCAGAGGTCACCCTACCCAAAATTATTGGCAACGTGATTATTTTTGCTTGGACCAGCAAATATAAAGTATCATTGGACTAAGAACAGCATAGAGACATTTTAGTTTTTAAAGGACATATTTTGCAAGGTTCAAGGCTTTCAGAAATCTCAAGAAGCATTTTGGACCATTGCATTCAAGCAATACAAGTCCCTTAACGCAGGCACACACCCTTAACTCCTATCAGGGAGAGCAGTGCAGGCCAGCTTGGAATTTCCAAGGCTTCCACGCGTGGTTTTCCTTTGAGCTATGAGATATTTTCTTTGTTTTCTTTTAAAAACCTGATTGTATCAACTATTGAGGTTTTAGTAATCTTAAAATTATTTTGTTACAGCCTGAGAAAACTACTCATGACATAAGCACACATTGTCCAAAGAACTACTTGGCCTGCAAGCTGACAGCTACCATCTCAATACATCAGACAGATTACAAGAAAGACACCAGTATGGAAGACCAGGCCAGAAGACAAGCATCAAGAAAGACTCAAGTTTCCATCCTATAACAGAAACAAAGACCTGATGCAAACAAGCATCTGTTACAAATAACATGCTGCTGTGTTACCAAAATTACTTCTTTTCCCTTCTAGAATGGAGGCACCACCAAAGGGCACAAGAAATGTTTCCTATCATCTGTAAACCTGCAACAATGAGGATGCAAGACATACCACTCAACTCAAATTCTTCTTCCAGCTTAAAAAGATACCATTTTTTTTTCTTACAAATTGACATAGGAATCAGATTTTCTGAATCCTGTACAAATACGTGTTCTTCTTTCAATTTAGAGCAATAAAAGTAGCAGCTATACACAAGCCTAGTACAACTTTATCCACATGCTTCAAAGGAAACAACTTTGAGCTGGAGAGCCCAAACAACCTCCAAGCAGCTCTGCTGTCATCTGATAAACCCAGAAAAGAACAGAGAGGTGAAGCGAACTGCCCACAACAGAAAGCAGAATAACTACATACCAAATTCAGGAGAAGTGTGCTGATTCTTCTGTTCCCCATTCAGTGTATGATCTCAGTAGCACAACTACCAAAGATTCACAACCACTTACTAGAAACATAACATCTCTTAGTCTGGCCCACAACTACAGACACTCACACATTTGAAACTAGTTTTTCCACACCTTACAAAGGTCATTTTAATTTAGTTATTACTGAAAAGGATTAGGCCAGATTAAATAAAAGTTGTCACACCACAATTTCCAGCAATAAAAGACTCAAAAGTTGAGTGAAAAAGGTAACCTCCCCACAAAACACACTCTTCAAAAAGATATATAATTCTATTAAATTATTCTAGATGCATACGATTTTGTAGATTTCTTCAGTGGGACCATCAAACTTCTGCTGCATTCGCTCCTCCAGAAAGTATATACGAAGCTTCAGGTTGAAGTTCTCTTTTTTCAGATCTGTGATTTGCTGTGAAGTAAGAAGGAAAATGAGCAAATTATGTCATGTGGTTCAAAGCAAGTAAAATGAGGCAAAACTACTATCATTTGGTTTTGCTCTCCACAGTGCAAGATTAGAATTCAACCCACTGGACGTGGTTAAATGCATACATGCATGGGTGATATACACACACATATATATACTCAAATCACGGAGGTGTTAATAACAGCATACGATACCGAAGTCAAAATGAAACACCCTTCCCTACCAGGCAGTGTCACCCAGGAAGCTGCAAATACTCCAACCCCTTCAACAGGTTTCTACCTTCTCCAGCTCCAGCATGTATCACAGAACATATTTTTCTTCCACCATCCCATCCCAGCCATAATATTTCCTTTCCATTTCCATTACTCACCCAAACAAGAAGAAATCCCACTCCAGTCTACTACTTCAGAATATTTTGGGGTTTGATTTCGGTTGTAAGTGATATAGGTACACTGGCACACACAAAAACTTTGTGTGTTTCTACAAGATGTTATCATTTAGCTTGTGTTTATTTTTAGTCCTGCAAAACTCTGAGACACTAGTACTTAAGCAAGTAACAATTGTAAAACAGTATTGTTTACACATTCATAATACATGCTGCTGTGGAGACAGTGCTCTTTCAAATACTCCTTCTTTAAGTTCTAAAACATTGACTTTACACAAAAAGAATCAAAGAGTTTTTTTAAATCTAAAAATATTAAGTAGTTAATTCTTCTATAACACAGAATTTGAACAAAATATAAGATGTCATGCTGAAATACAAGTATTTTCTTGGCAAAAGCTTGGTACGGTAGCCTTATTCATGGGAAGAAAAGCCATGAGCACACAAGGCATGTGAGCCCAGTCGTACACCAATAAAACCCTTATCCCATCCCATCCTTCATAGGGCTATTTGTTATGAAAAAATTGCTTAACCTTCCTAGTAGAAACAGTAACATAATTGATGGTTTCATTAAAGAAGTCTCCCTCTAAATTTTTTTAAGAGACTAAGCATAAAACATTCATTCAAATAGTACTTGTGTCCCCTGCCAGATGCTTTCAGTACAAGGAAATCTAATATGTTACAGAGCTACTAATAAAATATTTATGGAAGCTTTTCCAGAACAGTATAGTACCACTTGTAAAAATTATTAGCAATACAATTCTTAGAATATTTGGCTTGTGAAACCTAAGATTATTTTCTGGAACTGCACTCAGAATCTGCATCTGCAAACAATTCTTCAGTTTAATAATCTCTGCCCAGCAAGATGCCTCGCCATCACTCACTCAAGCAAATATGATCCAAGCAACTGAAAAAACGCTTGACTATGCAAACTTTGTGGCCCACTCACACGTCCTGAAGAAGCCTGTCTTCAGAAGCAGGAGCAAAGCATATATTTAACTTTATCTCTGCTTCCCCACAATTCCAATGCTATGACCACAAACAGCGGTGGACATAAATTTGAACTACGCAAGTTGTAACTGTTCAGAGCATACCTCACAAACACTGCAGCTAATAAACCACTCGCAGAATGTATATTCCAGACTGAGGCTTTGGCACATGTCACAATAAAAGACTTTAGGCACACACTAATGCCAAGGCAGCGTCCTTCTACCCCAGCCAATGCACAAAAACAAAAGAGAAAGTGAAATAGAGACTGTAAAAAACATCCTTCACCAAAGCTCTCCAAAACGACCTTTAAATTCTGAACAGCCTTCTCCTCAGAGGGATACAAGACCACAAGAAACTGATAGAGTTCAGAAGAAATACTCATTTCTAAGATAACAATGCTACAAAAGGTAACAGCACCTAGAGAAGCATGCTAAGAACAGCAGATACCGAAACACATCCTAAAGATAGCAAGCCACAGCCTTTATCTGTAGCAATCATCTCAGACATTTGTGATTGCTTTCCCCTCTACAGTTTCTTCACACAATCTTAAGAACTTGAGTTAAATAATTTAAAACTTTTTATGAGGGGGTTCTCCTGCTACACAGCTCAACCAAATCTCAACCAAATCATCATTCAGCAAGCTTATTCAGCTGAAATAACCAATACAATGAATACATTGGAAAAAAAAAGAAATCTAAGGTTTTCCTTTATATTCTAGTAAGTGCCAAAACCAGTTTTATCTATAGAACTGTCACAATGACACTAGACGTTTCCAACAAAAGTATTCCAAGCACACTCGTACATAAAGGTAAAAGGTATTACACAGCAGTCAATAAATTAAAAAGCCAAATCCCATACTAGTCTAAACAAAAATAAACTCAATGCTTCCCTGAAATACATCAATTGCAGACTTGCAAACCAAGTTCTCATGTTTCTGGTGACTGCACGAATTTCTGAGCAGAGTGGGCCAATTTTTGTTTCGCAATTTAAGAGCAGCAGTTGGCTAGCCTCAACAACAAATTTCTGCCTCTGCTTTTGAAACTAATACTTAAGAAACAGGATGTACAAAGCACAGATAGCCACATGGTCACACCTCCAACAGATCTGTGCTGACTGACACAAACTAAGAACGTGACCCAGAGAGTCAACACTTTAACCAGCATGTTAGGAATATCTTGGCCATAAATCTGTCAGTAAGTCTTACATTAAAAGTCCACTTACATTTTCATAGTCCTTCATGGTCCGAGCTCTAGTTGGTGAGATTGTATCTTCTGCCACATCTGGTAACACTAGACATTTAAAAAGACAGAATAAATTCAGACAGCAGAATCTCTAAACTAGGCTTCAATCTGCAAACAGCAAAGGCCTATGCTAATCTAAACATAATAAAAGTACAAGGCCTTTTGTGAAGCAAGGGAGGCATTTTCTTGCCCCTTGTTACACATTAGTGGTACTAAGTAGTTAGTATCTCGACTTCTTTCTGATCACAGTAAGTTGTCTCTCACTTAAGCTCCCAAGTTCCAGCAACACCCATTTAAACCAAGACATAGACTGAAATTAAACTATGCGAGGTGCACTTCCAAGAATAAGTCCTCACATCAACTGCAAAGGACTCCAATATTAGAATTAAGCCCCCCTAGACTATGGGAAAGCAGTTCAAATCTTTCAGTATCTTACTGGGCACAAGACAGGTCTCCACCTTAGACTCAGGGAAACCACGGCCAGAGGAAATGCCAGATGTTCCTAAAATGCAATCCCTCCTGAACCTACATGCACTTAAACTTCTGGTTGCACGCACATTCTGTAACAGCCCCATTTAACAGGACTGCATAACATATCTCCATTCAAATCTATCAGAATAAACTTTTAATGAGAATGATGAGATTATTGTATAAACATGTAGCACTTACATCATCTTAAATGCAAAGAAGAGGCATCTGAGGACTGAGACTGACTAATACTAACTAAAAGAAAATACTTCATTTCAGGTACTTCCGAAATTCTTATGGGACTATGTAGAGCAGTCTTGAAAATAACCCAAAGTACACCAGCTGGTGGTTTTTAAATCTTAATATTCTGGTTAATTTCACAGGACAGCTTTCCTAGAGCACATGCAGAACACAGTAACGTTATTTTGCAGCATTGATGTGTTTCTCATATTTGCTTCTTTTTGTGAGCCAATAGATCTCCCCGATGAACCGTATAATTGCTCTTATTTTCAATCACCTACTCCATCTCTGCAAGGAACTCAGCCAAGTTATGGTGCGGGATACACACATGGACCAAGAGAAACCAACACATACACCTCGGATTTCCCTAACAGAGCAGGGAACAGGTAACCACACTGATCAGTTCCACAATAACGCCAGTCAGCCGCTTCCCTTCAAAGTTTCACACAAGCCTCCCAGGCCTGGAGCAGCGAGCAGCTACACGGTCACCACCCAGGAAAAGGTTCTGAATGACAGCTGCTGCTCAGACCACAGGGCTTCTTACCGCGTGAAGAGATAAAAGCCAAGATAGCGAGTCTAGAGCAGGTCTTCAGGCAGGAAGCGGAACGGCTGAAGGGGAGAACCTGCCGGCAGGCAGC